AAAGGGCATCAACAACACGCACACGTGCACAAAAGCGCACACACCGAGAACCTCTGACATTTGGATTTGCATTGCACGCACTATCAGGCTCAAACTCCTCCACCACCAAGTAACTCTTCCCAAATATAAACTGGAGTATTTTCCTATGAGACAATCGGTGACAGGGGACAAACTGCTTTCTAGCCACTTCAGGGAAGCCTATGGTTACTGGCTTCCACTGCAGCACCTGGTCGGAGGCATTTTTCATGACAAATCCCATTACAGAACCGATCGAGTTGCTGGGAGAAGTGATAACCCCCCCAGCAGCTCTCCTCTCTGCCCCATACCCCCCAAGCAGCTCTCCGAGGTCAGGCAGAGCTCTGAGATACCCCAAAGAACTCAGGGTTATACAGGATAAGTGCAACTTTTTTCCTCTTTCTTCACCTTACCCATTTTAGAGAATACAGAACCTTATTATAAATGCAGAATTAATCCTTCAATTCTGGCGCAGATGCAACCAGCTCAAGAGTCACGAACTTGCCTGGGTGCGATGCCAAGCAGAGAGCTCTGCTCCGCGGCGCGAGCTCCCATCTCCTGCACGCTCCGTGCTGCTGTCACTTGTACAGCACAACCAGCTTCAGTGCCAACAGTTTATAGGCTGGAGCAGAAATTAGAAATTGCTACTAGAAAAGAAAGATATTTGCAAGAAGGTGAGACAAAAAACCTTCAGTCAACACAAAAGGTAAGTTAAATGTAGGAATATCAGAAATACTCATTATAAATAATGGCAAAGCAGAACCTGCTTGCTGCCTGACCCCCCATTTATATGTTGCAGCATTTATTCCAAATACTAAAGAAAACGTTGTTCTTACTGTTGTAAGAGAAAAAGAAAGAAAGAAAAAAAGAGAGATGAAAGGAAGCATTGCCACGGATGTAACTATGGATTCCTGTCCCACCACCAGGAGTTTTACCGGTTTTACAAACAGCTTCTCAGAAGTCATCCACCACCCGCAAGTCCCAAGACACACGCACAGGAAAGCCCGCAAGAGGGTTTAACTTGTTGAATTCACCCAGGGGATTCTTTAAACTATGAAAACATGGAAGACGCTTTTCTGGAAGGAAACAACCACGATAATTCTGTAACATACCACATTTGGGGCTGAAAAAGCTGCTTCTCATTATTCTACTTAGAAAACAATATAAAGTGTGAACCTTAGGTAACACAATGTCCTTTGCGCAGGAAAAATGCTGTGGTGTTGGTAACGGCACCTCGCAGACACAGGGACCGCAACCCTGCGGTACGTAAGGACCCGATCCTACCGGGCTGGCTCTGTAGCTGCTCCCGCAATGCTGAGGCACGGGGACAGAATTTGACCACATCCAATTCTCTGAAATTAGTTCACATACGCACCGATACAGGTCATGTTTTCCTTTAATGGTGAATGATTTGTATAATGAAGCAGAAACATATAATGTATTCCATGCAACCAACCTCATTTATTGAAAAGTCCTAATTTTATTGCCTTGTTTAGTAACATGTTTGTTCAACAAACTAATCTTTTTCATGAAGCAAAGCACAACTTTTTCTTATAAATAGTATAAATTATTTTATTTACAGAAACTTGTTACAAAACAAATAGACTATATATTTATTTTTCTTTTAAATATCCAAAGTATTTTTTTTCTATCCCATGACATTTGTTCATGTACTATACAGCAGCCAACACAGAGTTCAGCTGATCAGATGCTCTTGATTATGTATACAAATTATCAAACTATTCACACATTTTACACAGGAGATTGCTTTTAGAACCAGGCTCAACAGCGAGCAAGATGCTTTCAAGGCCTACATTCACATTGACTTTATGTAGTGCTCATTTTAAAATTATCTTTAAAACGTAAAATGTCTTGCACAAAAGGTAAAAATGATTATTTTCTGCTGAACAGTGAAACATTTAAGAATCTTTCTAAGCCCAATTCCCTCCTCCAGGACAGAATGAGTGAAAGACGAGAGAGAGATTCCTTGGCAAGAGAACTCTTACAGGAAGACAACTGCCTTAGAAATGTCATTTGGAAATCACATCTATTTTTTTTAATGGTTTTAAGAGGTACTTACTTTTTGTTTGCTTTGTTTTCCTGGAATACCAACTATTTTGAACATTTTCTAAATTATTTCATTTATGAATATCCCCCCCCTGCTCCCTCCCTTCCCAGAATGCGACAGTTAAATAAACTGCTGGTTAAAACCATCTTTAAACCCCTTGGCATTATATTAAATATGAGTTATCAATGGGATTGTTCCACCACAAGGTATTCTAATTAAAAGATTTTACAAAAGTTACCAGCATCATTTGCTTTCGTCAATCCATCTCATTAATTTCAGAAAAAATATATATGTATGTGTGCGTGTATATATATATACACACGCACACATACATAAATACACACACATATAATATATATAGGTGGAAAAAGCAAGCTCCAAAATTTCAACTGAACATTCAAGTCTTTTAAGGAGAAGCTGTCTAAACAGTCCAAGCTTAAAACTAGTTATAATCAGGCACTTTCAGTTTTTCCATTAGTCTTAAACCACATGAGACCCACACGAATGCGCACGCACACACACGCACACGAACACTAAAAAAAGAGAAGCAGTGTGTCACTTAACTAAATGTAGTCTTCTGGGAATCAGGCAACTGATAAGCAATGCCGGATCGACCATTTCGGCTCCGATCCTGCGCTCAGGTTCCCGCGGCAGAACCCGACCGCAGGACCCGGGCGATCGTTCGCTTGTATCCACTCCCGAGACATGAAAAGGGACACAGCTTTCACAAAACGGAGGCATCCCTTAAGTTGCAAAGTAGGCATGTTAACTATTGGCTTGGCAGTGAACCACTTCAAATTATAAAAAGGTATTTGCTTTTTTTTTTTTAATTAATTAATAAATAAATACTAGATGATCTCAATTGTACCAAAACTGGATATAAGAAAAAAAGACCTGTGCAAAAATACATATTTAAATATGTACAATCAATTAACAAAATATGTCTTCTGAAATAGGGATACTCCAATATTTATAATAGAACAAGAAATTCCAAAATAAAGATACAAAAGTATGTTTTTTTTTTTCCTTGTATAATTCTTTGTTCATCATTGCAGCAATTTTTTAGGTTAAGAAAACTGCAGGAGTCATAACGAGAAGTTGGAAAGACTATAAAAACTGTATCTCTTAAATTAATACCAAAATCTGTCTAGAAACAACCCAGCCACTGCAAATTCAAATTTGCAAGGAAAATTAATTTTAAGCTTCCTGAATTATTTACAGTAAGAACTATATGACAATAAAAGCTCCAGGAACAATGTTCTGCTTAAAAATCAAGATCTAAACCATAAGATTTAAGCAGGTCTATGCTCAAGGGCAGACAGAATTTACAATGTTCTAACTCTTTACTCCCAATGGCTTAAAACCACACGACGCAGGTGACTGCAGACCCTGGCTCTGGACGAGCAGCAATCAGGAATTCATTTTTCAACACGTCTGCATGCTATCGAAGGAGCACAAATTTGCCATTTATGCTTTCAGATCAACAGAACCTTAAAAAACCAAAAAAACAGAGGAGAGTTCGATCACAAACTGGCTACCATTCAATCTTGCCAAATTTTTGTTTCCTTTACCTTTGTGTCTATCAAGAGTCAAATTGCACTTGTGGCTGACGCTATCCTGAAGTGGAAGCTCTGCCGCAGGGACTTCATCAGAGCGTGGATTTCACTCCAAACGTGCAGGATTTAATACGCTTTGATTTCTCTTTGTGGCGTATCACTTTGGTTCCTTTTACGTTAAACCAATCGCAGTTCTAACAATCCTTTCAACAGGGCATCTTATTAAATACCAATTCTTTTGTTCCTGAAAAGTTGTCTTTTTTTTTTTTTTTTTAAAGTTTGCATAAGAAGTGTCTCTAGTACGTTGCTTTCTCATTGTGATCTTTTGTATCAATTCGAAGCTAAAGTGTCTGCATAGAGGCTTCTGGTTGTTTTGCTGTGTAACAATGATTTCAGAGCAAGTTCAGGTTAAACTGAAAGCATCGTTAGGTAAACAACTAAGCAACTGCTACTCAGAGTGGCTTTGGATTCCCTGATGTACTACTTGCCACCAGAACTGGGCAGAAGGCTGGGCTACACGAACAATTGGACAGGCTCAGATTGTCTCTCCTCAGCAATAGCTGGTGCCCCTTTAAGGCAGAAAAAAAATATCTTCTTGGTTAGGAATTTGTTTTCCTTTGCTTTGCCCCTTAATAAAAGTTTTGACAGTTTTGAGATTTTACCTAATGTTTAAAAACTTAACGAAAACATCCAGACGAATAAAATCATAATATAATAAGCCCTTTAGCGGAATTCACTTTTAAGGTGTTTTGAAGCAAGACAAAATATTTCCTAAAAATCAACGGGAATATATAAAACTGTGTAAAGCCCCCTTTACTCATAAAGCCCGGGCAGGTGTGGGATGACTGTGACACACACACCTGCGCTCTATGGTGAACTAGAACTAGGCTGTCAAATTGGTGTTTATTCCAGAATTTTGAAATAAAAAATCTTACTGAGTGGTTGAAAATGTAACATGTTAATGATTTAGTTATACAAACAGGGCATAAAGTAACTGGCTTTTATGTTTTTTAGAAAATACTTAAATACTTTAAATACTTAGTTTTAAAAGGGCTATTTTTACCAATACAGTTGTTATTTTTTTAAAATAACAAAGGCCTGTGGTATACAGTATAGGTCAATAAATACGTTCTTTGGGCATATAGTTTTGGAGGTTATTTGCCTTTGTCTGTTTGATGGTTTTGGATTTTATAAAAAACAAAATTAACTTTTATTGTCTTCTGCAGTCAAATATTACTCAAAAGAACAGAAAATAGGCTTTGTATCATGTGAGTACAACATGTTTATACTTGTTTTCTGAGCGATGGCCTCAAACAAGTTTTTCTGTTTTTTGTTGGGTTTTGGTTTTTTTAAACTCCTGATAGCTTCTTATCCCAAATTACTTGCAAAAGGCTGGGCAAAACACAGATTACTTTTTGAATTGTGCTATTTTTCTATTCCATTAATGGAACATTGCTATAAAAACACTAAAGCCATATTCCCTTCTTGAGGGCTTCTTCCCATTGTGCCTCACACATTTCTCCCCCTTGTCGCGGGGTCCTCTCCATTGAGGGTGTCTATCTGGTTAGCTATCACCTACAAAAGACACCATCAGTATAAAAATAAGTCCACAGTAACGTTTATTTCCCCCCAGAAAACATTCCTTTGCCCAACCAATCTATGTCAAATAGTGGCAAGATGATGTACTCCTATAAGTAAAATCTCACAGATTTGTAGCAAACAGTCCAGACCACCATTAACACTGATAAGAGCAAGTATGTGGCTGAACTTCATCCAGTGTCCATTTCTAGTATATTCACTGCTACAGACATGGCTTCAGGGAAATTCCTTGTTTAAGTGACAGTCCAGTAGATTTCCACACCTGAGGACCATGGGAAGTTGGGAAAAGTCAAGGCATCTTGGAGTCCAAAATTCCAAATAGAGGTTTTGCTTGTAGTGAAAATTGTCCAGTTTGTTTCTCACCACGGTGCATTCAGCTCTCAGGGACGCGCCTTTGGCTTTTGAACAAGCAAAAGAAAGAGAAAGATGAGTGAGCCAGCCTGTTATAGCAGACACCTTTAAAAGACATTTTCTGGATAATGAGAGCACATTTTGGGGAGAATCAGCAGGCACAATGTGACACCACTAACATGTGGTTAGCTCATTCGAGACTTGACAATTCTCGAGCTAGAGCTCTTTAAAGCTCCAACAGTTTCAGACATTATTCCCCTTCCTTAATGCACTCAAATTCTATTTCTCCTTTCTTTATATTGCACAGTTGAAATAGTAACTATTAGATAAGTACAAAAATAAATCCAGCCACCTGAACACCTTTTTTTTGGTACAGTAAACACAATACACAAATGGTGAAAATCTTCCTTTATGGCTGAAACTGAAAGTTCAGAAACCATTCTGAAAAAGCTCTTACTAACCTCCTAGCTCTCTAGGTACACAGATTTCAGGTTATTAGCACCAGGGGAAACAAGAAGTTTTTTGGGTTTTCAAACTCAAAAGATATAGTTGTATAGCTACTCTCTAAAATACCCTCTTCTATACTCTCCTCAAGTTGTATCACATTATTTTTACCCCTCCACGTGATCCTCCAAGCCAATTTGAAAAGAATTACTAAGAAGTCAGAGCTACTGGTTTCCAAGTTATCTCTCATCCTAATTTCTCAATAACTTTTTCTCCTGATACACTACTTTTCCAGTGCGATTTGTTGAAAAAAACAAAATCCCAAAGTAACTTTTAGAATGGGATCTTACGCATTTGTGAGATCTGCTTCCTCTATAGTAAATCTGTTTGCTTTACCAACTAAAAAGGTTTCTATCTTATTTATAACATTTAATCTTGTTATTACTAAGAAGTTAGTCAATGACACCTTGGGATAATAGGCTTATTTTATCACAGTATCACAGTTCTGTTATCAGCATCATTATGTTCTGCTTTGTAGAATGATTATTACTGACACAGAAACAAGAACTCAGGCTGATTTACTTTTTTTTTTTTAATGTGAGGACTGATTTTCATCTTCTGAGAGCAATTCACAGGCAACACCTAAGGTTTGTGCAACGTCATATTTAAGGTTATTTAAAAAAAAAAGCCACACTTTATGACAGTGTTTATAAAAATCTTGTGCAAATGTACTATAAAAGCACTCAAAATGAGAGTGGACAAATAAGAGACCTATCTTTTACTTGAGTAGGATCTGGAATTGGCTAGCTAATAATTAAGAGAACACCTGTAACATCAGCATATGAAGGGACATATTCATATTGGCTTAGTTCGAGACAAAATTTCATACCTGATGAAAAAGAGAATTGTTCATCAGCCCTTGCGTCCCTGGGATTGCACCAGTGTGTTTTGCATGAACATTGTTCACTGATGTCAATTTGGCAACTTTGTTTGATTTGCTGCTGCTGCTGCTGCTGTTTATGCTGCTTGAACCAGGTGAGCACTTTCTTTTCTTTCCTATTAATTTGTCAAGGGAAGTATGTGAATGTGAAAAACTGCTGTGTGAATTTACAGTCATCTCGCTGGACTGATGAACAAACGGCCCTAAGGAGAGCGTGGAGTCGCTGCTGTTCATCATCACACTCATTCTCTTTATTGATTCTGCAGGGCTTCCAGTCGGAGGACCCCTCCCTGATTGGTCATGTTTGAGGCTAACTGAGTTAGCTTTGCTAGTCATACAGTTGAGGCCAACACTGTGGGACGAAGCTGTCACTGATGGATGATAGGAGGTCCCAGAGTTTCCAGAGTTAACCACACAGTTTTTTCTAAAGGACTCTGTGGAATGAGAAGGTGCTAGCAGTGCGGAACTGTTTTTACGCTTCTTTCCTGAGCCGCTGCTGCTACTGACGCTGCCGGTGCTGTTAGAGGTGCCACTGCCAGCAGAAGATTCCTTAGGTTTGAAAGATTTGCTGGATTTAATTTTCTGAGGTTTGCTGGGCATAGGTGAAGGTACAGAGGAAAGCACTGTAGGTGTTGAAGGGGATGAAGACACTTGTCTTGATTGCATACTGCAGACGGGATCCACTGCACCCAAAGCAGCAGGGTTGGCATTTAGTGTCGTTCCATGTGATGGTACCGATTTATTATTCAGAGACACACAGGAAGGAGATACCAATGCTGGCGATGACATAACCGTGGTGGGTAAGAGGAAACCTGCTGCACTGACACCGTACTGTGAAGCAGGCAGCGAGTTTGTCCGATGTGGTGCACGAACTGATGCTGTGTTACTAGATGCTGGAGGAATTTTCCTGCGGGTGAAGAGAAGAAACGAAAACCTACATAGCTACCGTGCTTCAGAATAACACCCAGTCTAATGATGCTACATGAAAGTGACTGTACCTTGAAGCTGACTGATGCCACCAAAATGTTTTATTAAATTAGTAGTTAATTGTTGCAAAAATGCAAAGCACAGACTATCAACCTTTGATCTGATCAATCTGAACACGAGATTACTGGTTTTTAACTGGAATCACAGGCTTCATGTATTTCTACAATACGAAGAAGAATGAGAACTCTTTCGCTTTTACTCACTTCCACATCTGTGAATTAAGATGCTTCTCCAACATGAAGTCAAGTGCACATCGAGTATGGTTCCACCGCTTGTCAAACACATAATAACCTCTTCCAATTTGCCGACTACCAAATGTGCAAAACTGAAAGACAGATTTTTATTGGTGTTTTCTACTCTCAGTAACAACTCCGTGAATAAGAATGCACTTCTTTATATATAAATATTGCTAAACAAATATGCTTTTAGATGTTCAAATCAAGGATTTAAAAAACTGAATTTTTATTTCTATGGTATAACAACTACTTTAAATTTTTTGCCTTGGTATATTGGGATCATTTTCTTCCCATTTGATACTCTTTTGGGTTGGGGTAGTGAGGACCAAACATATTTCTTTAGCATGTTTACTTTGCAACTACAGTTAAACCTTCACCGCCTACTAGGCAACACAATAATATTCTTAAAATCTATGAGAAAAAAAAAAATCACATACCCAATGGAAAACCACCCTTAAAACCCCCAGGTAATTTGTTTACAAGCTCAGAGCCCACGAGAGATCACGGTTAACTTTGACTTAAAACGTACAGCGGCTGGTTGAGGATGATGACCTGAATAATGACAATCCAGTTTTTCAACAGGCTCTTCTTTTTCATCACATTCTCCCTCATCACTGGATAACCGAGGTGCTGGCTCAGCTGCAGGCAAGGGAGGGTGCGGGGACTCATGGACAGAAGGAGACTCACTAGGGGCATTTCCACTGTGCTGGGCTGGACAGCCTGGAGGCCTGGGCAAGGCAAGCAGTCAAAGTGTTACTAAAGTAAGTGTAGTTAAAAATTCCAAGCTTAAGTGCTTACTGTGACTGACAGCAGGAAATCCACATTAACAGATTTCTGATATTTTCCATAGTCTCACAACACATCTGCTGAGAGGAAGGACAGGATGTACAGCAGCCCTGGAAAAGCAGCATTGCCCCATCGTTGCTGAACTGCTTTCATTGATGCAAGCCAGCTTCTACTATTTCAAACCCCAAACTCTCCTCGCTGTGAGTTACAGCTCTGCACGTAATTGCTAACTGCATTCGGCCAGCAGGTCTAGAGCAAGATTGCTGCCCATCCGACAGATCCACATCGCTCTTTCAAAACCCACCTGGTGAAGCTAACAGTATCAATTTCATACCACTGGACCTGCAGATTTTCCTTACCTTGGAAGACTTGGGGGGTGAGGTTTGGGTTTATTAGGTAATAAAGGCTTTGAATCTGTAAGAGTAACTCCATGAGAATTTTGGTGCAGCTCCTGGGAAGTTTTAGTAGGTGAGGGATGTGGTTCCCTGAGAGGGGGCATCTGCTGATGATGATCCGAATGTCGAAGAAGTTCCTTTTCCCTGGTTTTGCTTTTGTGCTCAGCTAATAACACATCAAATCGTTTTCTTCGACCCTGTACAGCCCTCCGCTGGGTTAAGGAATGTGTCTGCAAAACCATGAATAAATCATTAATCCCAGGCTATTAGATTTGTGTAAATTAAACACACAAAACATGTTCAGAGCTCTAGAACAGACAAAATAATCAAACTTATGGTTTAGTAAATAAACGGACTCAGAAAACAAACTTTAAAACTCCTTTGAGGGTGACTGTATCCCTGTCTGATACAAAATAACAGAAACCAACAACTGAGTAAAAGGCTTCTTTCAAATTTATTTTTTAAAAGAAATTCCCAAAGTTGTTATAAGGTTAAGATTAGAATTTAAAATATTTTTACATCAAAATTTTAATTACCAACTAGTGCACGACCAAAAATACTAAATATTTACTTTCACTTATTAAAATATTTAATGCAACAATGTTTAAAATAGGATGTTTAGTGGGAGACATGAAAAATATTTATAAAAATACTTTGCTTCCTTCTGTATTCCTTGAAAACTAATGTAATCAAACAGATATTGAGGAATGCAAAAAAAAAAAATACAGCAGGATCCACAGTCACACAGAACTCAAAGGCCTTTGAGTGTCCTGAATACTACACATAGTAATATGTATATGTGTACATATGGCGCAAATCCTGAGTAAAGTGAAATAGATGGAAGTTAATTTTATGATTTGGTAGAGTCACATATAACACCTTTTTTCATGTGGCATAAAAGTTTTGATTGGGTTCATTTTTAGTAAGTAAAAATTATCATCACATAATTCAGATACAAAGAGCAATTCCAGAAAGTATTTTATGAGTAGATATAATTGCTGAGGAATTGCTGAGGAATATTTTTTTCTCTTTTACACTTTTGAGTTGCCTAGTTCTCTTGTAAAATCTTGGGAACTTTTCCCTCCTCTATTAGCAAAAACCAATTGCCTCCCCCTGTAATTCCAAAAGGGCAAAGTGTTCAAGTTCAGTTCCTCTGGATCATTAGTACCAGCTTCACTTACCTTTGTTCTGTAGGTGGTTTATTTACCAGATGCTTCTTCTACTGACAGTTTAGCTGCTTTGCAGGAACGTAGCTAAATATTACACAATTGCAGGGGATCCGAATTTTTAGTTCCTTGGGACTAAGTGATACCTGTCTGACCCCCAAGATTTTTGAACCAAAGGACACATTTCATGTGACCAAAAGTTTTAATGGATTGTCTGAGTTTCACCTCCAGGCACACTCCATGGCTTTTTCAGAAGACTAATTTCTGAGTTGGCTGGAGTCACACATCAAGCAGCATTAGCATTTACACAAATACCTCCTAAGTATCTGCTGCAGATTCTGCTGGAGGGAAAGGTTGGGGTGCGAGAGGGGAGGAGCTTGATTTATTTAAATCCTGCATAAACAAATAATACTTATGAGGAATAACTTCCTTCAACAGGTTGCCCAGAGGAGCTGTGGATGCCCCATCCCTGGAGGGGTTCAAGGCCAGGCTGGATGAGGCTTTGAGCAACTTGGGCTAGTGGGAGGTGTCCCTGCCCATGGCAGGGGGGTTGGAACTCGATCTTTAAGGTCCCTTCCAACCCAAACCATTCTACGTTTCTATGAATTTTAAAATTAATGATCTATGACCCAAAGGTTATCCCAAAAAAAAGAAGAATATGCTGGCCCCCTACTACGTACATGTGGAAAAACATAATCTGTCCCATGTCAACATTCATGTTTAAAGGGTTTATACAAAAATACAAATCTCTGGGTTACTTAAGAAATATGTTTTTGAATAATTAACTGAACTTAAAAAAAATTCCTTGTTGGTTGTCGGCAACATATTTGAAAGGTACCATCTACAGTGGTAATTACTGACAGCAAAAATTTGTAGTTTTCTGTTTTCTGTCATATTCCTCAGAAAACTGAATTAAAACTTTACATAATCTTATTCTGATTAAGACATCCTACCTTGCATGTCAAAGACCTAGTACAAGGTTTCCTGGTTTCCACATCAATGACACCACAGTATATATCAGGATCAAATTCTCTCTCTGTCAAAGGTACACAGTATTGAAAAGTTACAAAAGACATTTCAAAATACTAACATTCATTTTCATTATAAAAATTAACCATATTGGAAACTGTTTTCAAATGTAACACATGCAAATGTACAAATAAAAATGCACAATAAAACTGTACAAATAAAATTTTCTACACTCTCAGCAAGTTTATGCTGTGCTGAAATACAGATCTCAAGTCTCCAAAAAAAAAAAAAGAAAAAGGAGAAATTTACAGCTGTAAGGGACCCCAAAGGAAGAGTAGATCCTGCATGTTAGGATTAGAGGTCACCATCAATATGAACTGTGACAAACACATGGTGGGTTTTTTTGTTGGCTTTGGTTTTAAGAATATTTCTACAATTCTAGTAACACTCAAAGTTATTGTGTTTAAAAAGTGTAAAGAGCAGACTGGGTTTACATTTTTGAGTTTATGAGGTGCTAGTTGTTCCACTTTCTATGTAGACTTGGACCTTCCATACAGAAAGAAGGAAAAGAAAATCCTTAAAAGACAGTGGAAGAGCATAATTTTAAAACTGTAAGAACTGACAAGCCTTTGAGGTCTGTATGGTTTCTGAAACCAATAGGCACATTTCAAGTTGTTTGCATCCTTTAAGACTATGTCAAGTTACAGATTGAAATTCTAATATATAAAATGTAGGTAATTACAAGTTAGAAGTGTTTAATTTACTTCTGAAAATTATTTCTATGTATTCTATATATGTACATCTATATATACACTACTAAGAGGAATACAGCAAATAATAATAATTAAAAATAATTACCTGACAATCTTTTGTGTAAAAATTTCCTATTATTTGTATTTTCTTCAGGTTTCTTTTCCAAAAATGGAGGCACAGAGAGAAGACCTTTACCATTCAGTATCTGTCCAGGGGAAGGCAAGGGTGGCTTTGGTATTGAGGGACAATTAAGGCCAGTCTTTATTGAGGAACTCACAGTAGTAGAACAAGTTGGACCAACAGCAGCTTTCAGTTGGGCACCATCTATCTTTGGATGAATCTTTTCCACTTTGACAGATGGAGTCATACTGTTATTTATGATAAACAAAGGGGGGGAAAGTGAAAATTAGTCATAAATCATAAAAATTACTTTAAATGTTATTACTCAACAGTACTCTGATCTATTCACAATGCAAATGTAGACCTTCTTCTTCTATTCCCAGTTTTCTTATTCTTATTTTTTTTTTATTTTCACATTTTTTATGATGTCCATAATCTCTTCTATCCTCTCTTCCCCATTCACTTGTAAGTATTTCAGAGTCATCAGGGACTTCAAAAAAACTGTTACTGGATTCACAGATACAGCGTACCACCAAAGCAATTGGAATGGGCCTGTTATGTCCAGTGAGAAATGCCCTGTTCTGTGACAGTAAATTATCAGTTCTGAAATCTCACAGGTGCATGTCAAAAAAAACACCTGAATCAGAGCTAAAACTTTCTTATGATAAAAGTATGCAGATCAGATCAAAGAATTAAGAGGCCCTAGTAAAATGACTTTTATTTGTAGTGATTTAAGATACAGCTTTGTAAGAGTCCTTGTTCAACACAGTCATGAGTATTATCTATAATCTTAGGCTAGGCTGCTAGAAAAGATCTGGAGGAGTTTAAAGTGATTATCTCTTAAACCAAAAACCCTTTGAAAGAAAAGGAAATTCTACTGATACAGCAGTGCCTATGCAAGTAATAACATTTAAGTCTTTGTCAAAGCGCATACTCACATTTTATCATGGGGAACTTTGCTATGCTGTACCGGATGCATTAACCTGTTGTTTCCGCTGATCTGCAGCTTGTCTTTGGGTGATTTCAACAACTTGGAATTTGATGATGATGCACTAGTACCTCCACTGGATGAACGATTACTCCCACTTCCACTGCTACCTTTGTTTTTTGAAGGGAAAGATGAAATGAGGGAAAATACTGAAGAGGAGGGAGGAGTCACAGGCGGCTTGCTGGCGGAGCTGTGTCTTCTTTCTGAAAAGGAGGGAAAAAAAAAAGGGGAGGTTTTAAGATCCCATACAGAAACAATTCCTAAATATTTCATGTTGTCATTTACTCCATTAACATTTTTCCTTTACTGGCTTGGGAGGTCCCCTACCACACACAGAGCATAGAGGATCCAAGCCTCACTGTAATCCATGAGGCTCCACTCATTGCTGGTCCCCAGTCAGTTACAGGAGTCTCTTTTAACTTTGGGAGCTACATTCCTCAGCCACTAAAGCTTAGCTTTTAATAACACTCCCCACTCTCTCCCTCTCAAAGAATAAGAAAGTGAGAATCAAACCTAGACCCCAGACACACAAAGCAAAGACCCTGATCCTCAGGCCAAGCAAGCTTCATTATCAGATTTCCTCAAAGGATAACAATTATTTGTTAGTATGTCTTCCAATGGTCAAAATTACATTGGAGCCAACATTTTAACTTTCACTTCATGACAAACTTTTGATATGGTCTACTAGACCTTCACTGTGTAACACCCCTGAGAAGAGCAGCTCAAATACTGACCTACACTCATTTTTGGGATGCTGTGGGAGTTTTTTGTTTTGTTCTCCTCTTATTATTATTTTTTTTCCATAGTATGACCAGTTTCGGGAGGATTTTTATTAAGGAAAAACATCAAGAGCAGCAACAGCTATTCTTGTACGAAAAAAAAAAACAAAGCTCTGAACATTTGAATTAGGAGTGGTCAGGCTCCATCAATGAATGTGTTGGAAAATAAATTATTTAATTAACATTAAGCCATTAACATTGCTAGCACCAGATCAGTTAAAATAGTGTATATTATAATGGTAGTTCTTTGGAACAATGAGTTCTCAGTCACAAAAGACCGGACAGCTTCAGGGAGCACCCAGCTCTGCCTACGCCTGGCCATGTTCATTGACTGTTTGCTCCACTGATACTTGGACACCTGTGATTCCTCGATGATCTATGTAATCAACACCTGCTTAAGAGACGTGTCTGGCAATCAAGTATATGCAAACCACAGACCTGAGAGAGAGAACCAAGGATTAGCAGGTCCATTGGCAGAGTGGAAAGGCACCTTTCTCCTTGACAATGGTGACACCTCTTTCTCAGCCAACTATTGTTCAAGGTGCTCAAATCCACCACCCATCAACCCCAGAATCAGCTTACAGATTTTGACTTAAGTTTGCTTCAACTGTGAAAGAAGTAGGCTACTCATGAAGTTACAACAACTACAGCCAAGAGGGAAAGTCAAGACCGATGCAACCCGTACAGAAGTCTGTAACGCTCTGGAAAATTTAAATTAATACATCTGTGTTCTGCTTATATGACCTACTTCCCCCCCCAGTCCTAAATACAACACTCCCGTGCCACTCAGATGATGGCCAACCAGGACTCCACTTGCAGCTGTAAGCCATCGAACACGACAGCACCAACCCTGCACCCATGTCGCCAGGCTCAGCACCCGCTGGGCGGCTCTTGCAAGCCAGGCTGTAACAGTGCAACAGCAACGACCAGGGAAGAAGTCAAGCCACTCCAGGAGCACAGGAGGAAGACACAAGAGTCTAACACCTGGCAAGCCAATTTCTTACAGAGATGGGGATGCAAAGCCTTAGCTCAGGGAAAAAGGAAGGAAAAAAAAAAAAAAAAAAAAAAAAAAAAAAAAAGGAGTTTAGACTAGGAAACTCCAGTCAAGAAGTCATCTCTGAGACCAACCCAAGCGATGTGTTTCTCTGTTTAACTCCAAAATGGGTGCAAACTACCTAGCACCTTCACCACAACAGCCATCATTTCTTAATTAGTATTTACAAAAAGCTCTGAGAAGTCAGGTGAAATTCCCAACAGAAATATATAACAAATGCAGGAATTTATTGCCCATTTCAAGAAAAAACTGCTTCAAAATTATAGTATTTAGAACAACTAGTTATTTGTGATGTTCAAAGTCATCTACTTAGTTTTCTAGAACCAAATCTCATTGAAGAGTTTGTAACATATTTATGTTCTGGTAAATGGCTCTGCTTCTAATATGACACATTGCTTATTGCCAAATGTCTTTTTATAGCAATGGCAAGAATCCCTGAGCGGCTCTGATAAGTTACTATTTGAGGGCCATTAGTTCAGCAATGCTACACCCTGTGAGATTACTCTGCAAGATAATGAGAAAATTGCCCAATATTCTTCCACCTTCTGTATATTTAGAAAATTCAAAGTCCAAGTTCTTATCACAATTACAAATAACCTCTAATAAACCAGTGGATGACTAACGCAGTCTTTGGGAGTTTGTTTTGATTTTTTTTTTTTTTAAAGGAAGAGAAGGTGTTACCTCCTCAGAGAAAACCTGGCAGATGAGAAGAGAAAGGGACCAAAAGACTGAGTACCTCCTTGCATCCGATCATTAGCAATAAACTAGCCAAAATATTAACCTGAGCTATTAGTCCAAATGATATGAACATTCCGTTTCTTGCAACTTTAACTGGTACTGTTCTGGCACTAAAAGTATTTGCATGAATGTTTCACAGGACCAGTCTCCATACAAGTAGTTAATACAAAAAGAAAGTGTTTTAAGCTGCTGATAAGGAAAAAAACTAACCAAAGAGAACTAAGGCTGATGGCTGATCACACACCAAGATTACCGTCTACCTGTCAAGAGAGAATTTCCATTCTACAGACAGACACATGATGTGGAACGCACACACAAAAAAAAGCCAAATGAGCTTTTTCTAGAATTTTGTGACAATATTATAACATCGTAAGTTTGTGAAACCTTTATTCCCTCCTTTCCTATGTAACCACAACTTGCATCAACAAAATGAGAATACTTTTCAGACAACTTTCCGTAACTCACCTGGACCTGTTTCACACAAGCAGAGATAGGGCTGCTACTAGGATTTGTTTATATTTAAAGTTCCAGCCTTTTTATAAAATTCATGTTATTAAATGAAAACTGCTTAAGGCCTGTTTTGCAAACTATCTGAATACTTCTGATGTCTTGTCTTATTGGCGAAAGCTAATATTATTTTTGAAACCAGATGTTTTAAGCATGGCATACTTGATCTAATTAATGTATTTATTGACAGAGTGACACAGTATTTTAATGGAAAAGTTTCTACACAAACTGTCATTGAATAATCAAGACCACCATGCTTATTAAGCTAAGCATATTATAATGATAAATTCTACTAATCATCTGCCAATCTCATACAGTTCCCCTTTGTCATTAAGTCTGACTCAGCCTGAAAACACTTAAAAAGATAATTACCTCCAGGTGTTCAGTTTTTGAATTTTAAAAGTTAGCACTGGTGCCCCTTCCCTTCTCATAACTCTTGAAAGAAAAATTATTTTATGTTGTGATTGCTTTTCCAACATATCAAAGTGATATTTCAAATACTGCACCTGTGTAACACGTTTCTAAACTCTAAAATTTGGGGAGAGGATTTTTTGGGGGGACGGGGACGTTGTTGTTGTTTCTTTGTTGTTGTTTTGTTTTTTAAATATCAGAAAGATGTAAGTTTTGGCTTTGGACAAAGAAACAGAAAGTCTTCCTTGATTCCTCAGCACCGGGTAGAATCTGACCTAAAATAAAAGCTGCATTCACTCTAAACCTTAACAGATAAACTCCTCCCTACATAGCTTTGCATTTATGTAACATCTTTGTGACTCTAAGGAGAAGGGCTGAACAGAGAGTTAGAAAGCTGTGAAAAGAGAGGGCATCCCAGCAAAGGCCGTCTCTGCTCGGTGAATGGGATGTCTGATAGCTATCAATTGGACTACACAGCCATAGTTAGTGTGCTATTGGACTTACGTTTGAGCAAGAATTATATACACATGCTGCCAAAGCACACAGGAGTTCCTGATAAAACAGATATTGACAATTTAAATCTCTTCAAGAGCTTTAAAAAAAATAATAAACAGCTTCACTTGGCCCTTTGTCTGGCTGCCAATTTTCTTTGGTTTAAAATAATATTTTCCATTATATATTTCCTATTAAACATGCACTAATTTCAGACAAAAATGGAAAAAAGTAACCTGGAAGGGGAAGGAGGAAAAAAAGGGGAAAGAAATAAAGAAGGCCTCTCACCATGTTTGGCTGCTGCTTCTTATTCTTCCATCAATGAGTAAACACTTGGACTTACGTGATTTATAACCTTATTTCTATATTAAAAGAAGATAGCCTTTTATAGAGAAAAATACCCTGTTTTTCATAAAATACTACTTTCTCTGCTGTATGCTTAACACACACACACACAAAAAGACTAACTATACTCTTAAAATTTTTATAAAATGTTCCTCCCAGGTCTATACTTAGTTCCCAAAACTGAGGAAGTGCTTTATGCTGTTCATCCTCTGGGCATCAATTAATAGCTTTGGGCAGCACATACAAGATGTACAGATCAAATTTCATAAACCCATAGTTTTTTTTTTTTACACTGACTTCTTACATAAGCACTGGGCAAAAAGTCAAACTGACCTGTGTCAGTGCTAGCAGAGCCGTCACTAAAAATGAAGCACACCCATTCAAACACAAGTTCAGTTCAGTGAAATCCGCTGCAATTTCAGTAAACATTCAGAAAAACACTTTTTAACATAGGCTAGCCTAAGCGTAAGAGTATCACTCAGACTACAGAATTAAATGTGTATATGGAAACAAAGCATGAAGGTCACTTCATGTCTAAGTAATTATTTAATATATCTGTCTCACCTAAAGTTCAAATTGCACTTTTATCATGCTTATAACAAACTTATATTTTTTCCCATCATTCTGAGCTACTGTTTGCCTTCTCATTTGAGCAATGATTTGGTACAGCCATACTAAATCAAATATTTTTTTACCCGAGAATAAAACTTCTTTTCTCTCAGTATGACTATTACATTTCTAGGGTAATTCTGGAGAGCTCATTTACTTCATCTGCTAATTTGTCCAGAAAGATCAGATCTATGACATGACAGGAGAGCACAGACTGTGACACTTGTGGAGGGGCACCTCACCATAGCTCCAGATTTTACCCAGCAAC